GAATAGGTGGGAGATAGTAGTGTTGGGAAAATGTCTGAGTGTGGTGCAGACTTCTCTTCTTGGCTCAGTCTCCTGGGGAGATTTTTGACAAGTGAGTTCTTTTGGGAGGCTCTGCTATAGACAAATAAAGGATCAGGAACTCAAACACCTTTAGCTGAAAATACTTTTCATGCCTCAGTGACACCTACACATTGACTCCCTCTAAGGATTCTGTTTCCAGAGTGAACTTAAGTGTAAATCTGATCATGTTAGTCTCCCCCTAAAAGCCTTAGTGATTTCTTAATGGCTTTCAGAATCCAAACTTCCCAGTATCCCATTCATGAGCTAGTCTGTTACTTCTCTACATTATATTTTGTGTGTGTATATGAGAGGGACAGAGAGTTAACAAACAAGAAGACAGACATAAAGTAAAAAGGTAAATTTTTTAGTGGTAAGTATTATTAAGAAGACACAGGGTTATTAGGAAGTGATGGGGCCTAAATTTCATCAGAGGAGGTAACATTGTGGCTGGAAGGCCAATGTGGCCGTAGCATCATGAGCTAGTGGGGAAGAGGAACCAGGAATGGGATGAGGGTAGCCCACCTGGGGCCTTTGGAAGGCAGAAGGCATTTGGATTTTAGTCTATATACTGTGGATAGTACAGAGCCTTTTTTTTTTTTTTTTTTTTTTTTTTTTTTTTTGCCTTTGAACTACATTCCCTAAATTCCAGGAGTGCCAAAATCCCTTCCTGGTGCTATTTCCCCTTCTTCATTTCTTTAATGCCTCCCCTTCTCTAATTCTCAGATGTTATATCTCCAGGCACCCTCTTTCTGAACCCACACACCTAGATAGTAGCGAATGGTCAGTTTTTCTTGTCTATTTTCCCCTCTAATCCCGGAAGGATGGATCTTTTCCTTGTGTCTACAGCCCCGGGCTGAGCCCTGTCTGATGCTTGGCGGACTTTCAGGGAACCTTTCTGAAACGGAACAAACTGCCCTCTTGTAAATTTCACTTCGCTCCTGCGCTTTCTCCCAGCCCTGCTGACACTTTTAAAGAGCCCTCCGTGGGGTTCCATCTAATCCCAAATCCTGTAGCTCCTTTCCGATTGCCTTTTTAAGCACTGGCCCTTTTTGTCTCTCCCTTTCACAGCAGCCAACCCTCATTCTCTTCACACTTTCCACCCTTCTTAGGTTCCTATTAAACCTGAGTAAGTGGAGAGAGCCTGGACCGCCCTAGGAGGCCAGGAGGTGGGATGTTGACCTTCCTGATCAATCTCCCTGCTTCCCACTCCCAGAGTGGACTGAGACCTTCTGAGGAACCCCTAGGAAACCCTTCTTTGGCACATAGTGGGACTTTTCATTTTAATAGGGTTTCAGAGGCTGAGATACTCAAGGAAAGGTAGGAGAGTAAGACAAGGGGAGGTTTTGTCAGCAGTCCTTTCTGAGGTAAGAAACCTCTCCTGATCAAAGCAGTGGCCTACACAACGTTTTTGTTTTGTTTTTTTAATTGTGGTCCACAATAAAAAATACACTTATATTGTGAACCAGCACCCACATATGTGTAAATTAATCTATGCATGATGTCATTTGATATTTTCTAGCCTCTATCCTTTTGTTGTTGTTGCAGCCTTTGTTGAATGCCATTTGATTGCTGGCCAAGGTTCTGGGCAAGGACTCTACCAACGGATATATAAATCTGAGTTCAAAGATATTTTCCCTGTAGTTCTATAAAGATCCTGTTCTATTCCCTTTTCTTCTTGTTCCCCGTGTTGTTAAGAAGTCTGATGTCTTTCTGATTTCTTTGTAGGTAAAATTGTTTTCCTCTTCCGATAGTCTGCAGGATTTTATGACTATTCTTAATGTTTTGAAGTTTTATTCTGATAATTATAGGTGTGGGCTTATTTCTGTTTACCTTTCTCTCTTTGTTCCTTTTGAGTTTTATCCCTTCTTACTTTGAGAAAGGCTTACCTATTATTTAATTAAATATTGCTTTTGCATATATTCTGTGTTTTCTTCTTTTGGATTTTCTTTGGCACATAGTGGGACTTCTGAATCTTATTTCTGATGTCACTTTAATTTTCATTTCATACCTTCCAGTGCACTATCCCTTTGTGCTCACTGCATTCTGAGAGAGTTTGACTTTCTACTTCACATTACCCTCATTATCTGCGTTTTTTTCTGCTTTTCTATCCATTCATTGCCCTTCCCTCCCGAAGTACATATTTATTTCCAAGATCTCTAAGGCCCGTTTTCATGACTGCTCTTATTTGAAAATTGTTCTTGTTTCATGAATGTCATATTTTCTCTCGTCTCTGAGTACGTTATACTTACCTTGAAAGTTCGCTCTGATTCCATTGTGAACTCAGCTTCAGGTGTACATTCTCCCATCGGTTGAGCCTCTGCTCTCTGCTACCATATGGCTCTCCTCTTTCGAGGAAATGTCTGAAGGGAAGATGGTGCTGCTTCCACCCCTTGAGATGTGGTGGGAGTTGGGTGAGGTTAACGTATTTGGAGTGTGGTTGCTCCCTGTTCTTTCAGAGCATCACTAGCACTGCCTTCCCTCTCACACCCAGCTCCTGCGTTCACTGCGCCCACCTGGAAGATGTTCTAGAGAGAGTATGTGTAGGATGGCGTTCGGGGCCTGAGCAGTGGTGCACAGTTTATCTGCTTGGTTCTCCTCACGCTGATTCTTCAAATAATGACCCTGTTGGTTGTCTTCCTGCCCCTTCCTGGTTGGATTTCCACCAGATCTGGCTTCTGCAGCAGAACCCTTCCATTCATGTCAAGGGCTGGCTGCAGGTTCCCTCTTCAGTCTGATCTCTGTGTTTCTTAGGGAATTTTCAACAGTTTGTCAATTTTAAGTGTTCCTTTTTTGTTCCAAGCTCAGCTGAGCTTGAAAATGTCCGTGTTTATTTGTTCATCTATTAATTGTTTATACCTTCTCTGTTATTTTTAGGGATATAACATGGAGAGGTGAAGACTGACATGTTATTAGTCTGATATTTTTGAAACTGGAAATCCCGTGTTCTTTCCTTTTTTGGTTTTGTTAATCCTCACTCGATATTTAGAAAGAAAGAGAGAGGGTGAGAGAGAAAGAGAAAGAAATACTATTTTAAGAGAGACACATCAATTGGTTGTTTCCTGCATGCACCCAACTGGGCTGGGGATCAAATATGCAACCCAGGTTTGTGCCCTTGACTTGGAATTGAACCTGAGACCCTTCAGTCTGAGGGCTGACGTTCTAATCATTGAACCAAATAGGCCAGGACCTGTTTTCTTTTTAAATTCATGCCCTGGTTTTGCTAAGATTGACTTATAAAGGCAATACTGCAAATGGGTAGCATATAATCTCCGATAAAGAAGAAATTACCTTTGGGTAATTTACATCCCTGTCACTGCTTCTATCACAAATCATCACCAATGTGTTGGATTGGGTTAAGTGGAACTGGAAAAGTGTATGTGGGTAGGATGGGCTGAGATGTTGCTTATAATAGAGTGGTTTTTGTATACATCTGTGCCTCTTTACTTTATTCATTATTGTTTTACTCAAAAAATTTTTTGTTTACCCACACCTCTTGCAAATTCAAACATAAAAATATTACATGTGAAATTAAGTAAGAGTATCAAGAATTGTGTGTTTTGGAAAAAATTGTTAGTTAGAATAGGGAAGTAAAGAATTACTTTTCAGTCTCTATTTGAGTAGGCTTAGACTCGAGTAAGGGACTGAGAAAGATATAAGAAGAATAGTTCAGAGGGAAACCAAATAGAAATTTGGAAAAATAATATATTTAGATGTCCATATTTGCCTTTTTACTTAAAATGTTGGCTTCCTTTCTTGACCTTTCTCCATGCTTCATTATTATTTATTTTTTAATTTATTTTGGTCATTCATGAAGCTGTTTTTACAAAATTGAGTTATATTTCACATATCATAATATTTGCCCTTTTAAAGTATAAATGAGTGGTTTTGATATATTCACAAAGGTATAAAATCATCATTCCTATTTAATTCTAGAACATGTTTATCACTCCAAAGAAACCACATGCCCTTTAACAGTCACTTCCCATCTCTCTTCCCTGTAGCCCCTGGCAACCACAAGTATCTTTTATTTCTGAATTTTTCTATTCTGGCCGTTTCCTATAAATGGAATCAAACAATACGTGACCTTTTGTATCTGGCTTCTTTCACTTTCAATGTTTATCCATGTTGTGGCATATATCAGTACTTTGTTCCTTTTTTTATATACCACATCTGTTAATCCAATCATCAGTTGATGGCCATTGTGTTATTTCCACTTTTTGGCTATTATGAATAATGCTGTTGTAAACATTCATGTACAGTTTTCTGCTTGGACATACGTCTTTATATCTTTGAATATATTCCTAGAAGGGGAACTGCTGGGCCATCCGGGGACTCAGTCTTTTGAGGAACTGCCAAACTTTTTTTCCTTTTTTCAGAGCACGCCATTTTACGTTCTCACCAGCTGTGTATGAGGGTGCCAGTTCATCCACATCCTCACCAACACTTGTTATTATCTGTCTTTCTTATTGTAGCCACCTTCGTGGATGTGAAGGGGCATCTCACAGTGGTTGTGATGAGTATTTCTCTGATGGTAAATAAGCAAGCATCTCCTTCGCTCATAGAGACCCCGATGAAGGACTTAGCTTTGGAATGCTAACACCAGATCCTCTTCCTGGGCAGTCAGCTCCAGGAAATCTTTACCACTCACCCTCTAGATTTCTTGCTGGTGAAGCAGAATTGTACAGGTTTTCTCCCCCCCACCCCTCACTTCTCTACCCCCCCCCCCATCCCGGGACGGTATGAGAGGTTGTGAAATAACATTTTTCAGTGTTTGGCACTTACTAAACGCTGGCCCCTCAATGAGTAGTTAGCCCTCCCCATATTTGGGAAAGTCGAATTGTGTGTGAATCATAAATCACATCAGAGGTGGAAGTGAAACTCGTCGAATTAACCGCTGTGAAAGCGGCTCGCCCTCATTTTTGCCTTGTGGTTTTCTGCAGTCCTGGACTTCAGCGATCCCTTCAGCACCGAGGTGAAGCCCCGGATCCTGCTCATGGGCCTGCGGAGAAGCGGCAAGTCGTCGATTCAGAAAGTTGTCTTTCATAAGATGTCCCCCAATGAGACGCTGTTCTTGGAGAGCACCAACAAGATCTGCCGGGAGGATGTTTCCAACAGCTCCTTCGTGAACTTTCAGATCTGGGACTTCCCAGGACAGATTGACTTTTTTGACCCTACCTTTGACTATGAGATGATCTTCCGGGGAACAGGAGCCCTGATATTTGTCATAGACTCCCAGGTAACGCCGGTCTTGGGTACAGTGGTTCCTCAGGCCCTCTCCCCCATGTAAGCAGCAGTCCCCCTGGCTCTAAACAATGTCCTTTGTGATCCTTTTGGTTTGGGGTTTGGTTTTTAGAATTTGAGAAAGGGCCTCTTTATCAAACAAGCATTTCTCGGTTGGGGCTCTCAGGGTTTGCAAAGAAGTCTCCCTTCCTGCAACCCTGACCACTGAGTGATGGCGTTAGGGAGCTGTGTAGTTGTGTACGTCTCAGCATACCACAGATCCAGGAAACCTCACAGATGGAGGGGGCCCTGTACAGGCCACTGATGGCAGGTATGGGTCCCCCCTCTGGTGCTCTTGGCAGGTTCTGGGCAACAAAAACACGTATATAAATTAATCTGATTCCTGTGAAATAAAAGTTCCAAGTATGCAATGTTCTCTTCTGAATTAAAATTATCATAATTACTGTTAGTGCACAATTAATAAAGACAGCGTAAGTATGGTGTATTTTATGGGTGGCTTAAATATAAAAAGTAAAATTTGAGATATAATTGTCTCTCCTAAGAAGGTGAATTATTTTCCCACTTAATTCATGTGTCCATGCTTGAATAAGACAGGATTTGACATCAATTCTGTTTTTTTGTTTGTTTGTTTGTTTGTTTGTTTGTTTGTTTGCATAGATGTAAACACTGAGAAGCCTTGCTCACATAAATATGTAGGTGTAGAGATGGGGTGAGTTTTGGTATAGCATTAACTCAATTATTTACACTCCTTCTAAGTTATAACCCCTAAATTGCCCAGTTTTCTGTCACAAAAAAATTATTTTTAGTAGTTTCCCAACAGACATGCTGATTGAGTCTTCTTCCATTTCACTGAGAGCAAAGAATTGGGAGCCCTTTGACTTAGTTCCCAGGCATAGAGTCACTCACTTTATCAGTTATTCAAACCAGCCTTCTGAAGTGTGTTTGGCACCCTGGGATTTTATATCCTGATCCCATGTTAAAGGGGAGGTGGAGGAGGAAAGCAGTGGGACCGTCAGTGTGTCTGAGGCGGATCAATATAAGAAAGAGTACAGCCCGGCTGGTGTGGCTCAGTGGTTGAGCATTGACCTATGTACCAGGAGGTCTCAATTCGATTTTGGTCAAGACACATGCTTGGATTGTGGCTCAGTTCCCAGTAAGGGTGGGGGTGGGGTGGGGCGGGGGGCATGCAGAAGGCAGCTGACCTATGATTCTCTCATGATTAATGTTTCTGTCTCTCTCTCTCCGTCCTCTCTGAAATCAATACAAATATATTTTTAAAAGAAAGAAAGTACGGGCGGCGAGATTGAGACCTTGAGGCCCTTCAAACTCCCCATGTCCAAGTATTTAGAAAGAGTCTGTGACGTGTGGCCCAGCCCCAAGGCCCTTCCAAGGGCTCTTTTTTGTAGCTGCAGGGAAATAAAAGGCAACACATCTTACAGGAGCGCACTAAACCAAACCCAAATTCAGGTCTCGACTTATTAAAAAATATATATTTTTATTGATTTCAGAGAGTAAGGGAAAGGGAGAGAGAGATAGAGAGAGAGAAACATCAATGGAGATTGAGCCCACAACCCAGACATGTGCCCTGACCAGGAATTGAACCATGATCGCCTAGCTCATAGGTCGCTGCTCAACCATTGAGCCACACCAGCTGAACAGGTACAGACATTTTCATGAAACTGTGGACCCAGTAGGAGCACCAGTGTGGTTGGCGGCGAAGGGACGTGAAGGCTCAGTCATAGTGGGTCTGAGCCCATGCTTGGAAAACCATTCTCTGAGAAGGCTGCTCATGCCAGAGCACGTTCACGGAACTAGGTGTTCAGTAGAATAATGAAATTCTCAACTAAAGCCTTTTCGTTTCCGGCGACTGCATTTTGTACTGCTGCTGTAGCGGAGGGAGGTTGGCCGTATGGTTAGAAAGGGTTCTTCATTTTGTGGAGGGGAGTAGAGGGGAGACTCTACATCCCAATGCCTGGTCTGGGGACAGCAGTGCCCCTCCTCCCTTGGGACCATCCAGAGGTGTGCGCTGGTAGAAGTTGCATCGGGTCCAGAGCCTGTGTCAGTCGCTGCGTTCCTGGCTGTCCCACTTTTATTGACCTGTTTTCTGGCCCATCTGTGGCCTTGGCAGTATCCCCTGCCTTCCTGCCTCAGATCTGCCAGCACCATAAACTAGGGAGTTGGGAGCTGGAGAGGAACGGCCGGAGTGTGTCCGGTGAGGCTCCAGGGATGTCACACTCATCCGTCTCTTCTAAACTCCATTTCCCCTGAGTCACATGGCCACATGTGAACTAGGGAGTGGCAGCCCACGCGAGAGTAGATTCCAACCAGATGATTCCTCATTTCAAGACAGTGGCTTAGTAAGTAAGTAAGTAAGTATTTATTTAGTAAGTATTTCAATACCATGTTGCACTAGCAGGAATGTAAATTTCCAAAACAAACCCATCTCAGGTGTTTGTACGATGGTTATAATGGGGCTAAACTAGGTACACTTGCCTGTTTTTAAATTGCAACCATAATTTGGTTTGATTTCCACCTGAACATGGAAATAGACCTTCAGTTTGGGTTGGGAAATATGTTTTTTGTTTATTTTGTTTTTTTGGTTTTTATTGTTGTTGTTATTTATTTTTTAGCTGTAAGGCAGAGAAAGGTAAATGGATGCTTGCAGAATTCATCTTTGAAGTTATACGTTTAAAAAAGGGTAGGACAAACATTGAGAACTGTCATTTACTAAAAATATATAAAGTAATTAAATAAAGAGCTTCAGAGTCTGCTGGAAGCAGGCTGTGAAAATTGTATTTGTGGGAATCTTTGCAGGATGTGATTACAAGACTGAAACGGGAGCACCTCGGCAACCATTTTCTTTATTTCTAAGCAGTGCTCTGTGGGTGGGACACCTCCTCTTTTTACTTTTCGATTGTGAATTCCTCACAGTCAGAGGATTGCCAGATACATATGCCGCCAAGGAGAAAATGCTGTAAAATAAAAGAGAATGGGAGCATTGAGAGCCCTTTCCCTCGACCTGCATGTGTGACCCTCCAAATGCCCGGCAGAGCCCGCAGCATCACAGCCCCAGGCCCTGCTTCGGCCCCTGAGGCCATGCCACCTGGGCTTTAGGACCCACACATCGATAATTCCTAGATTTAAATATGGATTGAAACCAGGCATTATAGTTTTTTGTTTTTTTTTCATAGAAGATAATAACACAGTAGGAAAAATCATCCACAACCCCTCTGCTCTAATAAACCAAGTATATTCTTCTTTTTAATTTCATTTGTAATTCTTGTAGCTACATACTATACATCAGTTAGTTGGTAATTAGGCCATTTCATATTCTTGGCAGGGATTTAGAGGAGCAATTTCTAATTTTTTTGAGACTAATGCTCTCTTGACATTGGCTAGTTGTGCTCACAGGCCTGTCCCTTTAACTCCTCCCTTCCTTACGTTATAGACATAAGCACTAACACTTTTTTTTTTAGGTGAATATACAAAGAATAAAATGTCCTTGTTTTAGATGAACAGTTCAGTGAGTTTGATAAATGTCTACACCCCGTGACTAGCTCACAGTCAAGATGTAGAATCTTTCTACCACCCCAAAGGATTCCTTCATGTCCTTCCTCAGCCAGTCCCCAACCCCAGCTCCAGGACTGCTGATGTGCTTTCTGTCACTATAGACTCATTTGCCTTTTCTAGAATTTCAAATAAGTGGAATTATACAGTAATAACTTTAGTTTTTATTTGAGATACTTTAAGGTCTTAAAAAAGTGCTACAATTATTCATCTAGAATTTTTCCAAAATGCTTAATCTGCTAGCCAGTGCCCAAAATTCCAACTTTCATTTTAAATGACTCTTTAGAGTGTGAGGATGAGAATAGTCCATTTGCTGTTTGTCTCTCTTCACAGTTTTTATTATTATCGTTAATATTTTTATTTAGCTAAAGACTAGAGGTGTGTTTTTTATTAATTTAGTTTGGGGAATAGAAGAATGCCAGAACATCCCCTTTTAGTGGCTTTCTGTATTGGTCCAGTTTTGGAGTCAGAATAAGAGGTGAAAAATCCTTTGAATTCTGTCCTGCAAATCCCTTTCCTTTCTTTGCTGTAACAATAAGACCTGCTCATACCTATCAAGTTGGCAATAATTAAGAGATCTGACAATACTGAGTGTTGGTGATGGTCTGGAGCATCCAGTACGCTTACACATTATTTAGTCAAATTCAAGGTGCTTCTTCCTATGACCCCATAGGTTGGCCTTCTGGGTAAGCCCCCCCAAACACACAAACAGACACAAAGATGCATGTGAGACTGTCCACATTATCACTGTCTGGAAACATTCAGAATGTCCATCAGCAGTTATTAGCAATGATAAATTACTTACTGTCCATATACTGAAACTTTATAGAGCTATTAGAAGGAGTTATGGTCTGGTCAACATGGCTCAGTAGTTAAGCGTCAGCCTATGAACCAGAAGGTCACAGTTTGATTCCTGGTGTCATGGTTGTGGGATCTTTTTTTTTTTTTTTTTTTTTTTTTTCTTTTTAAGTTATACACTTCAATGTAGGTGAATCTCACTGATATGTTGGGCGAAAAAGGCAAACTATAATATACATTTAACTTGATAATTTTATAAAATATAGACCAATGAATTCTATTAAAGGTAGATATGTATGTAGTAGTGTATCAAGAGACGAGTGAGAATAGAGACTAAACTTGGGATAGTGCTACCTCTGGAGGGTAGTGGGTAGAGTGATGGAGTAGAAGGGAGGAAGGGGAGAAACACAGGGCTTCAGTATCTAATGTTTGATTTTTTTAAAAAAAATATTTTTATTTATTTTAGAAAAAGGAAGAGGGAGAGAGGGAGGAGGAGGAGGAGGAAGAGGAGGTAGGAGGAGAGAGAGAGAGAGATATATAGAGAGAGAGAGCGAGCTATCACTGTGTGAGAGAGAAACATTGATTAGCTGCCTCCTGCAAGCGAGCCCACACCCTGGGCACGTGCCCTGATCAGGAATTGAACTAACAATCTTTTGGGGCATGATACTCAAAACAACCAAGCCACACCAGCCAGGGCTAATGTTTGATTTAAGCAAATATATGTGTGTGTGTGTGTGTGTGTTTATTACGTTATCATATAAGTATCATATGTAGGAAGGAGGAAAATAGTATTGTGTTATCTGGGGCAATGATTGTAGACTCTCGGTCAGCAATCATTCTTTAAAGGGCCAGATGGTAAATATTTCAGGCTTTGCAGGCTGTACCATCCCCACAGAGGAAAACTACTCAACTGCCATTGTGGCATGAAAGCAGCCGTAGATGCTATGTAAACAAATGAGTGTGGCTGTGCTCCAGTAAGACTTGCCTTACAAACATCAGGCCTGGGCCCAATCTGGCTGCTCTAGGCCAGTGGTTCTTAAAAGTTTTTCCTCCTGGCTCCTTCCCAGTGACCCATATCATATTTTCATCTCTAACTGCTCATCACAGTTGACCAAGAGATTAAAAAATCTGGGAGGGATTGTATTCTAAGGGAGGTGAATACAATTTTCAATTCACAAAATTGCAGCTCTGATCTTTTTGACTGTCACCAAGCTACTCATAAGAGCCCACAGCTGGGTTTTTCTGGCCTTTTCTTTTTCATCTATTCGTTAACAAAACTTACATTTTCAATCTTGAATTCTATAAAACCAGCTTTTATTGGGCTTTTGCAAAATATTTTTGGAAGTTGTGCCCAGATGGTTTTCAAATTATGAAAGAATGTGAAGCCCTGGATGGCTTGTCTGAGTAGATAAGAGTGTTGGCCTGTGGACTGAAGGGTCCCAGGTTCGATTCCAGCCAAGGGCACATGCCTGGGTTGCAGGCTTGATCCCCAGTAGAGGATGTACAGGAGGAAGCCAATCAATGATTCTCTCTTATCATTGATGTTTCTATCTCTCCTTCTCTCTCCCTTTCTGAAATCAATAAAGAAATATATTTTAAAAAAGAAAAAAGAAAAGAAAGAATGTAGAAAGGAAAAACATGGTTAACTGTGAGGCAAGGTTTTGGAAAGATTAGTTAGCATTTCACAACATGTGCCTTTTATCAAAACATCCCATTGCATACTTTATTTTTTTATTTATTGATTTTTATTTTTTTTTTTTGGAGAGGGGTAGGGGGAGAGAGAGGCAATATAGGTGAATTTCACTGATATAATGTTGGGTGTAAAAGGCAAACTATAATATACATGTAACTTGATATTTTTATAAAATTTAGAACAATGAAAATGAATCCTGTATATTATTTAAAGATAGAAAACTTGCACTTTTTTTTCTTTTTAAAAGCATTTTTATTCATTTCAGAGAGGAAGAAGAGTGAGAGAGAGATAGAAACATCAACCACGAGAGAGAATCATTGATCGGCTTCCTCTTGCATGTCCCCCACTGGGAACTGAGCTTGCTACCCAGGCATGTACCCTTGACTGGAATTGAACTCAGGACCCTTTGGTCCACAGGCTGATGCTCTATCCATTGAGCTCAAACTTGCACTTTTGTTGTTCCACTTATTTGTGCCCTCATTGGTTGCTTCTTGTATGTGTCCTGATTGGAGATTGAACTCTCTAGGTTGCTTTATGGGCACTCTCCTCTCACCAACTGAGCTACCCAGCCAGGGCCTCCCATTGTACACGTTAAGTGTATGCAATGTTTGTTTGTCAAGCATCCCTCAGTGAAGCCGGGCAGTTATGTGAGAGGCGCCTTGGAAGGGTTTAGGAAGCAAAGTCGCCTCCCCTGACAGGACTATGTCTGTGTTCCCAGGATGATTACATGGAAGCGCTGGCCCGGCTGCACCTCACCGTGACCCGGGCCTACAAAGTGAACACCGACATCAACTTCGAGGTGTTCATTCACAAAGTGGACGGCCTGTCCGATGACCACAAAATTGAAACCCAAAGAGATATTCATCAGAGGGCAAACGATGACCTTGCCGATGCTGGATTAGAAAAAATTCACCTCAGGTGAGAACAGAAATCCCTCAGGGGTCACTGCAATGGACGGAAAAGGCAGGTTCGGGGTCCAAAGTCACCACAAGTGGTTCACTCTGTTTTGTACTGTGGACATTGGGGTGGTATTTGGGTAAAACAAACTTTCCATGCGCTAATTCTAATCTTTGTGGAAAGCAGCGGGGTTTAAAAATAATAATTAAAAAAAAATAAGTGGACAAAGCTAAGGTTCCTTCGCTATTTGAGAAACACATACCATAAAACCCATGAACATAATCCAGGAGGTTTAACCCCCTTTTTTTTTTTTTTTTTTTTTTTTTTTTAATGTGGGGTGCTCCATGATTCATTGATTTCACAAATTGGAAAATGAAAAACTTAGGTACTTCAATATAAATAATGTCACTGTTACTAGCCCATGAGGTGTGTGTATAGATGACCTGGTGTGCATTCTCTTGTAGAATATAAGGAAGCTGGTATGGGCACAGACGGTGCATTTTTTTAAAGTATGGAATGCTTCACAAATTTGCGTGTCATCCTTGCACAGGGGCATGCTAATCTCAGTATCGTTCCAATTTCAGTGTAGGTGCCACCGAAGTGAGCAGTACAATGCATTTTTGAGCTTTCCACTCCAACCAGTCGGCAGGAGAGAATGGACACAGTTCTTGTTTTCTGGGTGGTGGGAGGAAATGGCCCGTTAAGACATGCTCAGTTTTTACCAAGGCTGTTTCAAATTCTGATTGTGTGTGTAATAAGTGTAGACACAGGAGGCAAGTACTGGTGTTATGACAGAGCCTAAGCAGTCTATTCCCCAGTCACGGGGAGAATGTGATGAAATATTGTTTCCTCTTTCAGCTTTTATCTGACAAGCATATATGACCATTCAATATTTGAAGCTTTTAGCAAAGTGGTTCAGAAACTAATTCCACAACTCCCCACCCTGGAGAACTTGCTAAACATCTTTATCTCTGTAAGTAAATAATATCATCCTGTGAGAATTTAAGAATAACATTGCAAGAGTGAAAACGGTCTTATTTCTGCTGACTCTTTCCGCAGCAGTCCAAGGTCACCCACGTATGTGCTTTTGGAGGTTGATCCAGAAATTGTTTCAGGCCCTTTAAATTTTAACTCCCCACATGGATGCCTGTGCTTTACTGATATAATTGGAGTGTTTATTCAAATTGTAGGCAATCATTCAATGTTAACAGAGCCTTACCAGAGGTAGAGGGTATAAAAATGGGTTTGGCGATAAGATATAAACTGTTAACACTGAGTGAGTCCTATGAACCACCAGCTCTCGTCCAGGTCTGTGGAGTAGCATGAAGGCAGACCTGTTGGTTGTACTCACGTGAATTCTCACCACAGTTTGGAATTTGCTTGTTTAGATTTCTTAAATTTATTTTTTAACTTAAAATCAGTGTAATTAGTGTTTTTAGTTGGCCACCACTCAAGTTTGTTTGCCTACAGGAAATCATTTGTAATAATTAATTCCACTTTTCATTTCTTATGAAAGCCCATGATAAAGAAGTATATGACAATGAGGTTTAAATTGTAATGACATGGAACAACCTAAAATTATAGTAACAATTTTTGCTCGTTTATTTTTTACATAGAGGATGTCATATAGTTTTATAGAACCATGACCTTGTTTGAAATCAGCTGCTGCTTTAAGTCAGCATTTTTTTTTTGTTTCAGAATTCTGGAATTGAAAAGGCATTTCTATTTGATGTGGTCAGTAAAATTTATATCGCAACTGATAGCACCCCAGTAGATATGCAAACCTATGAACTCTGCTGTGATATGATTGATGTAGTGATTGACATCTCCTGTATTTATGGGTAAGTAAGGCATTCTTACAGGCTACAAATCAAGCCATACTTCTCTTTCAGAAACTTTGAGACATTTTGCATTTACTTATTTGATATTAATACTTTTTGTTTTAAATGACTGAGATCTGTAAATAAAAAGATCATCTAGCATGCAATAATAACAACAAATAATTATTGAGTAAATTCCTGGCATTATGCTAATAATCTCATTGCATATATTATATCATTTAATTCTCTACTACTCCATGAGGCAGGAATTACTACCCCCACTTTAAGGAAGGGAAAACTGAGGTTTACACTGGTTATGTTTCTAACCTTTGCTCAATAAAGGCTGGAACTAGAATTTGAACTTCAGCCTAACTGATTCCTGGGGTTTCTTTACTGAAGAAATGTATGATGTATATAAGACATCATACTATAATGTCTTATATACTCGGGAGAGACTAATAGGATCATTGAAGTCTAAATATCTCATGTTAACAACAGTTCTATTATCTTCTTCATTATAGGAGATAACTACTGGGTTGTTTTTAAAATATATTTTTATTTCTATTATTCAATCATAGTTGATATTAAATATTAGAGTTTCAGGTGATTAGCAGAGTAGTTAGACATTTATGTAACTTATTATACAAAATGATCCCTTCAACAATATTCTTTTTGATTATTTTTTATTGTGGGCAGCAGGGAATTTTAAAACTAAGCAAACAGCATTGCCTATTTACTATTAAGGTCTTACATTCTTAGGAAATAGTTTTTACACTTAAAATCATAAAATAAACAAGGAGTGGGGAAAGTTGATTGTGTTACCAGACATAGAAACAATTTCACATAATTATAAATTTGCTGAATGAGTGTCATAGAGTGAATGGGTATGAACTAGTTTATCTTATTAAGACAACAAATTGTTTATGTTAGATTTATGTCTTCATCCAATCATTGATTACTTGAAGCTTTTGTTCATCTTCCTCTTCACTCACTGTGACCTGCTTTATATAACCTCCTCTTCCGTGACATTCTCAGTCTCGCCACTTCTCTCTCCCACTGTCTGAAAATCCTTTGCCAACTCAGTTTAGATTCTCTGTTAACTCTGTTACACATACTAGTATACATGCAAACATAATGCCTTCTGTTATGAAAACGGGAAAGTGAATCTTCATAGGACTATAGTGAGAAAGAAATAATTAGGTTTCACCTGGTAAATATAACTGGTGATATATTTACCCAGATAAATATAACTGCTATCATCATCATCATCATCAAACACTGCCATTTGCCTTTAGAAATAGGCCATGTTTCCTAAGATTATTTCCCTACAGTAACCTGTTATTTTTAAACTGTAAAGTGAATGACCTTGAAATAGCCGTGGAAGCTGAATGGACCCTGATTACAGTCCAAATTGCTGTGGTAATCAAACACAATGAACAACACAACTAATCTGGTTCATGTTTAATGATATTCATAATCATGATTGTGCCATAAGGTAATAAAGATGTAAGTGGTAAGTAGTTCTTGTAAATGATGTTGATCAGAGTTACTTTTACCCAGCTGACACAAACATGGCAGGGTTGGGAGGAGGAGGGAGCCGGGTCCTGCCTTCACGTTGTTTTCCCGTGTCAAGTGCAGTGTTCCTGAGAACCTACCAGGTTCAGTGAGAACCAGTCTTGGTCACAAATGGCCGTGTGGTTTTCCTCAGACGTTTGCTGGCCAGGCAAGGAGCCAGCTAGGAGGGGGAGGGCTTGTGATGTGTGGGGCCGCCCAGGAAGCAGGCAGCCCAGGAGGCAGGCAGCCCAGGAAACAGGCTCCCAGCCAGTTCCCAGCTGCTCCCTAGAGACCAGCAGGGGTTAGAAGCAGGTGACCTGGGGCCTCTGCTCAGGAATCTCAGCTGAGCTTCTGCTAAGACTGGTCAGCTCTGTGTGTGCACACACACACACACACACACACACACATACACCGTACACACACACACACACACACACACACACGCACACACACACACACACACACTAAAACACAAAGCCATCCTCATGTGTTTTTATGGCTTTGTAGATGGAGATGTGAGTAGTAGAAAATAGTTGTTGCAGTCGTAAAAACTCACCAGTTTCTACTTGTAATATTTTTGGTCTTTCTTTGTTTTTCCCATTTGCTGAATGTTTACTTTTTCTGAATGTGATTGTAATATGAAAATATGTAAAACTATGAAGAATAACATTAAAATAGCCATAATCTTATCACCTAGAAACAATCACATTCTTATATATTTTATTCTTGTTTTTGTGTAATGTTTAGGATAATGCGACCACTTTGTATATTTAACATTATATCCTGCTTTTTTTCACTTCACATTATCACTTAAGAATGTTCTTGTGTAACAAAAACACTATTTAGTGTCTATATAGCATAGTATTATATACTTTGAAATTTTAAATGCAATTTTCTTCATTGGTTACAATTTTTAAATATTTCAGTTAATTCTCAGAACATTACAAGCAAGAAATTCAGTTTAGAAAAAACAGTAACTAAAAGTAGTACAAAAGAAGTTAAGAATTCTGTTAAAGTATCTTTAATATTTGAGATTTAACACTTCTTAACATTTTTCTTTACTATTATGGTAGGTTATAGTGAGTTGCATCCTTTTATAAAAAACTAACTTCTACAACTTACTTTTAAATAACCATGTATGTGCCAGTTTAAAATGCTATCAAAACTAAACATCTACATTTTCTTTAAAATATTCTACTTAAAATACTCTACAGCCTGGCCTTCATGGCTCAGTGGTTGAGCATCATGGTCTGCAAACTGCAGCTTGAGAGCCACATAGGGTTCTTTGGCCCCTTGAGTGTGGCTCTTCCACAAAATACCATGTCCTGGGCAAATCTATTTTGAAGAAGTGGAATTTGGAGAAATTTAAGTTTTAAAAATTTGGCTCTCAAAAGAAATTTCAATAGTTCTGTTGATATTTGGCTCTGTTGACTAGTGAGTTTGCCAACCACTGGTCTAGGAGGCCACAGTTCAATTCCCAGTCAGGGCACATGCTTGGGTTGCAGATTCGATCCTTCTGCACCCATGTGCAGGAGGTGGCTGATCAATGATTCTCTATCATCAGAGTTAGAAGTTTCTATTTCTCTTCCTCTTCCTTCCTCTCTGAAATCAATAAAAATATATTTAAAATAAGTAAAATACCCTACAATTCAGGCAATTTTATGTAATCTGGTTTGTCACCCTCCTCCCCCTTGTGATACTTACAAGATGAAAGGTAATAACTCTAAAATTAGTCAGATGGATTTGAAGTCCTGGCTGTACCCCCATCATCAGCTTTGACTGAGTTATCTTATTTTCCCAACCTCACCTCAGTTCCTCAGCACCAAGGATTCTTGTGCCAGATAATATAATGCATGGTAAGAACCAAGAACGATGCCCATCACAAAATACATGTTTAGTAAATGCTGGCTCTTACTACGCAAAATGATAAGGATTAGCAGCAGCTGGATTATTATGCTTATCTACCTATAATCATAAAAGCATAATATGCTAACTAACCAGGTGACCTTCCTGATGAAGCCAGGGCTGCGAGGGTCGAGGCAGCCACCACGGTTGCTTCTGGGGGCTACCAGGGCCAAGCCCTTTGCACGAATTTTGTACATCAGACTTCTAGTGTATTAATAAGATTTATTTAGCACAATTACAATTAAATCAGACTTCTGGTCAAGTATTTGTAAGTTTGGGAAGCAAAAACAAATCAGAAATGTATGCATGGTCTCACATAAGGGGAATAGGTACAGGGAAGTGCTCTTTTGCCTGTGAGGAAAGGATACATAAGTCTTTGATTACATCAGTGTCTTGGAGGGTCCAGTTTCAATCATTAAGGCGGTGGGGATTCAGAACTAGTCACCCCAACATGTGTCTCCGTGGTATGCAGATTGTTTTTTGAGCTAAAGGCAACTTTAGCCTCGGGTTCAAGAGAAATTTCTGCCCCTCCCATAACTACCTAGAAAAACTTGAATTAGGGGCCTTGCATATAATTAAAAAATTATCAGTGATAACTTTTTTTTTAAAAAATGTATTTTTTTTTATTTTAGAGAGGAAGGGAGAGGGTTAGAAAGACAGAAGCATCAATGATGAGAGAGATTCATTGATCAGCTGCTTCCTGCACTTCTCCTACTGGGGGTCGAGCCGGCAACCCAGGCATGTGCTCTTGGCCAGAATCAAACCTGGAACCCCTCAGTCCGCAGGCCAATGCTCTACCTACTGAGCCAAACCAGCTAAGGCAGTGATAATCTTCTTAACCCACTCACTATATGGCAGGGAAAACTTTTATTTATTAAACATCTGTTCTTATCCTGTACTGACCCTTTGAAGCCCCCAATTACCTCGTCCTTAGTTCAGATGTCGATCTCCCCTTTTTATCTCTGAACCTTTCCTGCATGTGGGGTCTCTGACTCTCTCATGTATGCAGGGTTCCCATACTATGTAGATATTACATTTGGTTATTTTCTCTTGCTCATCTGTCTCATGTTTATTAGACCAGTCAGAAGAACCTTGAGGATAGAAGAAAATGTATTTCTCCCTGACAAAGTCATAATAATCATAGCAGTTAACATTCATTATACATATTACATGGTCTCAGCACTATGCTCAGTGCTATATATGTATTATTTCATTATATTAGGAAACTTTGAAGTAATTACTGTTAGTATACAGATGAGGAAATTAAGGCTTTACTTAACTTGCCCATAGTATATATACAGATGATATAGTATAGAATGCTACACCTGAAATCTATATAATTTTATTAACAAATGTCACCCCAATAAATTCAATGAAAAAATATTAGACCGATCTATTTATTTAACTTTTTATTTTAAAAAGATTTCAAATCTACAGAAAATGTGCAAGGATAGTACAATAAATTCCTATATACCCTTCATTGGGATTCACCATTTTTGTCAATTTGCCCTATTTGCCATCTCCCTCTTTTTCCATTCCATGTTGTTTGGTTTTTTCCCTGAACTATTCGGGAGTAAGTTGCGGACATTGTGGTTCTTTGATCCTCGTTACTTGAGCATCTCTCAAGAACAAGGACATTCTTTTTTTATTTTATTTTATTGATTTAATTTTTTTTAATTTTTTTTTTTTTTACAGAGTGGAAGGGAGAGGAATAGAGTTAGAAACATCAATGAGATAGAAACATCGATCAGCTGCCTCCTACACACCTCCTACTGGGGATGTGCCCACAACCAAGGTACATGCCCTTGACTGGAATCAAACCTGGGACCTTTCAGTCTGTAGGCCAATGCTCTATCCACTGAGCCAAACCAGTCAGGGCAAGAACAAGGACATTCTCTACAGGACCACAGTTTAATGATCCAAGAAACATATTTAGCATGGCTACTTCACTCAATTATCTAATATACAGTCCATATTCAAATTTTACCAGTGGTCCCACGCCTACCTTTCCCCCTGCAATTCAGCATCTGATTCAGCATTTGGCTGTCATGTGTCTTTAGGCTTCTTTCATTTGGAACAGTTCTTCAGTCCTTCTTGGTCTTTCATCAGACCATGCCCTTACAGCCTGGTTATTTGCTCATGAGAAAATGAGAAACGCTTGAGGCCACAGAGGGGAGAAGAACTAATGCCCGCCTGTCCCTCACCTGTGACCCTCAGGTGTCTGGGGACTTGCCCAGCTGCCACAACAGCCACTCCTTGTGTCAGTAGGAAGGTGACTGTCATACACTAAGCATTCTTGTGATTGTGTGTTTCTTTAGCCGAAAGGTCTGAATGGTTAGGCTAGTTGTTTTAATATGTTTAAAGAAGTAAATCATTCTGTGTTAAAGCTGGTTTTTGTTGTCAGGTTACCATTTATAGTTCTTTCTCGATGGTCAAATATGTTTTGGTTTCTGTCCCCCATTTAGTCTCAAAGAAGACGGAGCAGGAACCCCCTATGACAAGGAATCAACAGCCATTATAAAGCTGAATAATACCACAGTTCTTTATTTAAAAGAGGTGACAAAGTTCCTGGCTCTGGTTTGCTTTGTCAGAGAGGAAAGCTTTGAAAGAAAAGGTAATTTTTGTGTGTGTGATTTACATGAAGTGTTTCCATTCAGACTAATTCTGTCTTTACTGTCTGTTGAATGTGGATAGGGGGCAGCGTGCCTCTTGAAGTTTGCAGAATTGAGTCACAGGCCCCCACGATCAGCCAGCTTTGGGGATCCGTGAACCAGCCTGCCCTCTAGTGAAAGCTGCTGTGAGGTGGAAGTGAAGCAACCGTCCATCCAGGGGCCTCAGCTTTCCTGCAGGTGCAGCTAGCTGGGGTGCTGCCAGTCTGTAAAGTTTCTTACCAGGGGAGGCCCCCAGCCTACAGGGAGGGCAGTGGCCTCCCTCTTGGGCCACACCTCTAGAAGGTTTTAGAGACATGTTACCACTTGTGCTCCCATGTGAAGGAGGGGACTCATATAACATTGAAGCTAGATGGTATTTAGCTTGTGTTCAGCCTCTGTATAGTCTTTAGACCTCAAAACACAGGGGTGGCACCATGATTCTGAAAACAGAAGACATGAATACACTTAATAATCCCCCCAGATATCTTTTTTTTAAAATTTTTTTTTTATTGATTTCTTACAGAGAGGAAGGGAGAGGGACAGAGAGCTAGAAACATCGATGAGAGAGAAACATTGATCAGCTGCCTCCTGCACACCTCTCACTGGGGATGTGCCTGCAACCAAGGTACGTACCCCTGACGGGAATCGAACTAAACTTCTGAAATGTGCTTCATTTCTCCTCTCCTTCCTCCCGTCCTCCCTTTCATCTTTCCTTTCTCTCTTCCTTCATCTACGACTACAGCCCCCAAACCATCTAGGATGATGGCAGTTTCTAACAGAAATAATTTTGAACCAATTTTGGATTTCCAAAAAACTTCTAAGAACTGTACATAGTTTACATATATTTCCCATCCAGCTTCCCCAAATGTTAACATCTTACATACTATAGCACAGTTTTCAAAACTAGGGAATTGACATCAGTATAATGCTACAGATATTGTGCAGAGTTCACCAGTTTTTCCAAAAATACCTGTTTTCTGTTTCAGGATCCAAAATTGATTTAGTTGCTATTTCTCCTGGTCTCCTCCTATCTGTGGCACTTCATCTTTCACGGTCTTGACACTTTTGAAGAATACTGATCAATTATTTTGTAGAATGTCCCTCAAATTGGGTTTGCCTCAGATTTTCACACAGTTGGAATGAGACAATGCACTTTGGTAAGAACACCACACAGGCCTGGCCAAGGGTTGAATGTTGACCTATGAACCAGGGGTCACGGTTCCATTCCCAGTCAGGGCACATACCTGGGTTTCAGGCTCTTGATCCCCAGTGGGGGTGCTAGAGGAGGCAGCCAATTGATGATTCTCTCTCATCATTGATGTTTCTCTCTCACCCTCTCCCTTCCTCTCTGAAATCAATAAATGTATAGCTAAAAAACACACACAGAAATGATGTGTGTCTTTCTCTGTGCATCATATCAAGTGGTTGATGATGTTTGTATGTCTTGTTGCTGGTGATGACTTAGCTAAGATGGTGTCTGCCAGTTTTTCCAGGGGAAATTCCCTACCTGTCCCTTGTCATTAATATAAGCTTTCAAACTTTGCAAGTTCTGTTTCCTCTCACACTCTTGCCTATTAATATAACCTTCATTTATGCTTGTGGAGGTAAATTTAAGCAGGAGTTCATCATGTCGATCTTTTACTAAGTTACCTCGGTGGGATTATCACTGTGGATAGGCCGACCTTGTAAACGTACTAAACTAAATAGAAATGTATGTGTTAGTTCATGCTATAATTAAACAATGTAAATAAATAAGCAGACTGGGTGTAACCCCACCATGTTACACTTACATGCTTTTTTAGGGTGACCAACCATCTCTATTAGTTGTGGAACAGTAGACCTCCAGTGAAACTGGGCAAACCAGATGAGGTTTTATCTATTATGCAGCTGTCTTTAAAAGAAACTTAGGCTTATAAGTGCATGGAGTAGTTTGATTTACTGTGTTGCTTGAATTTCGTATAGCTGAGTCCTTTGGTGCTGAAATCAACACTTGGTGATAGCTTTTCTCCATGTTTGTCTTCATCTGAGTTTCCATCAATGATCCCTGTAACTGCTTTGGCAGAGGAGCTAGAACTGAAAGCAGAAGCGGGACTCTCCACCCTAGATGCACATTGTAGGCACCTTGGGATGGGGGGGGGGGGGTGTTAAATACTACGGACGTCTGGGTCCTCCTCCAGGTAATTAGAATAGAATTCCTGGGACGGGGGCCTGAGGTTGGTTAATATTTCTGAACTTCCTTGGGTGTTTTTAATGCCCAGCTAGGGTGAGAACAGCTGAACCACAGAAGGGTGTGGGACCATCCTATAACTGTGTATGGTGGTGAAGATAGTCCTTATTCTGTTCATGTCTCTCTTGTATTTTCAATGAAATAAGTAGCACACTTTTTTTTCTGAGTGTTTACTTCCTTAAAACACCTCAGCTGTGATTTTTTTTTTTTTTTACCATTTTACTTTTAAAACTTCAAATGCAGCAAGATTACTGTTTTTAAAATTTTTATGCATTAAAAATGTGCAAAGATGGCTAAGTTAAGATTTGTCCAAAACTATCCATAGGATGTCTCTGCAGTGTCCTATGTTGAGTGTTGGATTCACTCACCCCATTGAAGCAATCAAGCTAAGCTTTCTTCCTAAGGCAGTTAGTTGCACATATGATAGAGAATTGTAAGGTTGTTCTGACAACTCATTTCCAAATTCCCACTAAGTAACATCACTTCTTTGCGCTTTGTTTCTCATTTCTGCCTTATTCTGCTTTGTTTCTTACTTCTGCCTTATTGCCTCATTGTTGCTGTGTGTTTTTTTGCTTTTTTTAAAAACTGGATGCGTGGCCACTGCAGAAGCACCAGAGGGCGCTGCTCGGAAGGTTTCCTGCTCTTGAAGCTGAGGTGGTGGTTCCTCTAGTTCAGTGGTCGGCAAACTCATTAGTCAACAGAGCCAAAAACCAACACTACAACAATTGAAATTCCCATTAAAAAATCTTTATTGTTCAAAGTATTATTCATTTTAAACTTGCATGATATTGAAGAACTGAGTGTGTCATTGGTTGTTTGTTGAATTCCTGAGCTTGAGTTGACCTGAGGTGGCTGCTTTCACTCAACTAATAAAACCAGGGATTGTGCTTGCCCCAGGATTTATGAACATAGTTTAAATATAATGTACATCCAATAAATATTGATTACTTGATTGATACCGTGGCTTTGTTATCTCAGCCACACTCCAAGTCATTGTCTCCCTCCACATAGAGTCAATTTAATAATGTCCTTTAGGGAAAAGTAATAAGTATTTCATTGAAGATATAACTTTATTGTGAAAAACCTTTAATTCTGAAAGGTCAAAAAAATGTGTTCACTTGGTTCTTCAAATGTTTTGGGTCATAGACACCTTTGAAAAATCTGGTATATACTCTGGAAACTTTTCTTAGTGAAAAATATACATTCACAAGATCTTGCCTGCGATTCCCTGGGATCAGATGCAGACTTACCTCCGGCAGTCTTTGGATCTTACGTTAAGGCCGCTTCTCTACTGCCCCCTACTGGTTAATCCTCATCATGGACGACATGAAAAGATGGATATTATTTCTTTCTACGTGACATTTCTAAGAATTTTTTCTTTTCTTCTCCAGGGCTTATTGACTATAATTTTCATTGCTTCCGGAAGGCCATCCATGAAGTTTTTGAGGTGAGAATGAAAGTGGTGAAATCGAGAAAGGTTCAGAATCAACTGCAGAAGAAAAAAGGAACCACCCCCAATGGGACCCCTCGAGTGCTGCTGTAGGTGGGGTTTCAGAAACATCTTTTGAAATCAGACTTTCATTGAGGCTGCTGCACTGTGTTGCACGAAAGAAGGAGGAAGAAGGAGATTGGGACACGTAACATAAATTTGTTGTAAAAAAAAAAAAATCCCTTGACGCTTTTGATCTTTTCTTTTTTAAATAAAGCAAGCACTTTGAAGCAAAAACTTGTATACTAATAATGAAGTTAAATCCACTGTAATTTCATGACATAAATGTACACTTTTATGGTCTGTCGTCAGAAAAATCCTGTGTGAGAACTGCCAGGAACTGTATATATTTTGCACTTTTTCATTGAACTAAACTTTGATAAAACAACTTTTCTAAGCTTTTTCTGTACTTGGTGTGAAGGACATGCATACTGTAGTTCTTTAGCTATGGCAATCAGAAATTAACAAAAAAGTAATGCATTAGCAATGACTTTTTATAAACTTGGGAATCTTTGCTACCAGTTGTTGAAGGGGGAAAAAAAATCATTTTACAGTAGAGATGGTACAGATTGGGGCAGCAAGCTATAGGAGCAATAAGAACTGTCCCTTCTTTATAACTAATGTAAACAGGAATTTTGATGAATAACATTAGCACCAAACTTACCTAAAACTTTCTATAGCTGTGGCAGTGCTTCCTGACTCAACAGTTTTTACAAAGCTCTTTACCTCAACACACATCTCTATAATCATTTTATACAGAGAGGTGGGTTTTTGTTTTTGTTTTTTGCTGTATTACTGTTCTTTAGTACCTTTGGGACCAGATTTCCAAAATGGTGCCGATCACTGGAGACAAATAGGAATGTCATTGAATTTGCAGGGACTCTGGAGGCTTTTTGTACCTGCCACCCAGGCTAGAGTGACATCAGAGGACACGTGGTTTCCCAAATGTAGGTGATTGACAACTGCAGATATAAAAATAGATAATACAACTCCGTATGTTTGGCCCCTGCAAGTTGGGTCTGTTATTGTGCAACATTTGAAATGTTTATTTAGGACCAGCTATTTGTATTGCTCCATGATCACAGAGAATGTCTTGGATCTCTGCCATAGAGTGGACTCCTGTTGGGCACATTGGTCACCTCTGTAATTTGTCAACATTACTCACAGTATCCCTCATAGACTCTGCCTGCTCCTATCTTATGGCTGAACTAGAGCTCAGCTTGCCAGCAGTATGCCTGCACAGCCGAAAAGCCCTGGAGATCAGGGGGAAGGGGCTGCCAGAGGAGACATTACAGTTAGCCATGTATTTGTTTCTGTGAAATTCTCTCACGTTTACTTTAGACTAATAGCAAGTTAAGAGGTTCCTAAACCTTCCCCACCCCGCACCCCAAACCATTCCAAGTAGCTAGTTCTAGGTCCATCCCAAGGGCTGGTGCCTAAGGCATGCTTGTGGGCATCAGAAGACAATATCCTTTTCTTTCAGCAGAGGCCCGTAGGGATATCAAAGCTGCGCCTAGCAAAATGTTCCAAGTTCCTAGAGCAACTTGTCCTTGAAATTATCCCACTTCTACCTGTGACTTCTTTCTGTCCTCTCTCCTTCCTCTCCTCAAGTCCTGTTCCTTTGAGGCTGGTAGCTGCTGCTTAAAATGGTAGCTGTTTGGGTTTCAGGTATGAGCCCTCCCAAGAGGCTGTGCATTTTGGAAGAAAACTTCTAAAAATCATGAAGGAGCGCCAACTCCCTTTCTCATAAATTTTGCTCTAGAAACCTGGGTGAGTAGTATCCCGGGGTTCTAAGGAAGCATTTTCTCTAATTTCCAGACCTATATCCTGTTGGACCTTTGCCAACAGGCCTGGTATACTACTATAGGTGGGTTATTCTTATAAATCTAATTCTCTCATTTTTATAATGTTTCTTTTTGAGTAAACAACAAAGAATTGCTTTTCTAATGTGACTTGATCCTCAAGACAGAGACATTTGCCTATCTGACAGATCACACATTACTTAGGTATATACGTATATTATTGTAACCAAGAGGAGCTTCCATTTTTGAGCTGGATATATGATGTTTTGTTTTGTTTTTTTTTAATATGTTTTAATTGATTTTTAGGGAGAGAGAAAGGGAAAGGGATGGAAAGATAGAAACATCATTGAAAGAGAAACATCATCGATCAGCTGCCTCTTGGATGCCCCTTACTGTGGATCGAGCCAGCAACCCAGACATGTGCCCTGACCGGGAATTGAACCAGTGACCTCTTGATTTGTGGGTTGACATTCAACCACTGAGCCTCACCGGTCAAGCTATGGTATTTATTTTGTTGTTAAAATGTGCCTTAAGAGCCTATTACTTCAAGAGCAAATGATTCTTTGGGGAAAAGGCAAAATTAATGCTATGGCATAAGGGCCCAAGTTCATGGTACTAAGTGCATTCACACACTAACATAGATGACTGCCTCAAAGCTGTAAGCATGGCGATGACCTCTTATTTAAAGAGAGATGTAGGAATTATGTCTAAACCTTCAATTTTTGAAGTCTGTGCTATTGAAATTACAAAATCTCTCAATTCCTTTTGCATTTTTATTGATTTCAGAGAGGAAAGGAGAGGGAAAGATAGAAATATCAATGATGAGAGAGAATCATTGACCAGCTGCCTCCTGTATGCCCCTTACTGGGGATCAAGCCTGCAACCCAAGCATGTGCCGTTGGCCAGAATCAAACCTGGAGCCCTTCACTCCGAAGGCTGATGCTCTATCCATTGAGCCAAACCAGCTAGGACTTGCATTTTATTTTTGATATGGGACTTAGCTTACTGTGATGTCTATGGCCACATTTAGGTCACAAATCCAATGTTATAAATACAAAGCCCAAACACATGGCTACAGTGACTGCTCTGGAACATTTTTGCTCATTTTCAAAGGTTGACAACTTGACATATAGGTTTTTAGGGCAGTTAGAACTTCTATGTGGAGGTAAGACTCTGTGAATTACCTAGCATCTTTGCTTATTTCCAGTTATGCAGATTAGTGTGAATGACCAGGGTAGAATGTTTTTTGAAGGAATATAAATTAAAAAAACTGTTGACATTCATGGACAGTGTTATTTTGTGAACATAATATATTTTGGACCCTTAAATATGACTAAAAACACAGCAATATTGTTATATACGGGTTATATGCTGTTTGAAATGTACTCCAGAAAAACAGCCAACTGTCTTGATTATTAAAGTATGGTATGCATTCAACTTATATGGACTGAGTGTAATTTATAATCAAATATAGTAATAAGTTTTACTTTAAGTGGTAATCATTTGTAACCATTGTTAATCATTGCCTTCACAAATGTTAACCACCAGTTTAAAAGTTTGTGTCATATACTCATGATATGCTAAGCTCTCATTTTATTTTAAGCATATTCATAACTAATCTTTCAGGGAGCAGAATGGTCTCTTTGGTGAAAAGGAAGTATGGTCTTTCATATTAATGCGGTTGTTTACCATACATGTATATTACTGCTCTATTGGCATTGTTTGTGGAAATGAGGATAAATCACTCTGTGTATATTGGATTTGCACTCTTGTTTTTATTATTTTAAACCCTCTTATCTCTTTATATTTTTTATGGCAATTTGCCTGTTTGATGATAGATCTATTATTTCAGTAAACTTCAGATATTCATTCTGCTACTTTGATCCCTAAATCTCCGGAAATTCTCTTCCTAACAGTGCACCTTACCGCTCCTTACTTGCTTAGTAAGATTCCACTTTTCAATGACTTGTACAGATCCCCTAAGAGTTCTTAGAGCTAACATTAGATGTTATATCTTATATATGAAATCCTGTTTCTGATGGAAACCTAATCTGAAATAATTATTTTTTTAAATCAGTAGTGATGTTGAGTTTAGGAGGAAGAAAACATTGTCCTTAACAGAATTATTTAATAATACTAGATATTGAGTATACACAGTATACCAAATGCTGCTCTTATGTGTGTTTATGTAACTTATTCTCATAAACCCAAGAGGTAGGTACTATTATCACTCCTATTTTTCAGATGAGGTAACTGAGTGCAAAGAGATGAAATAATTTGGTCAAGATCATATTACTAGTAAGACACAGATCTGGAATCGGACTCAAGAGTCCACTCTCTGAGCTATTCCTCTAACAGCCTTATCAAATATCCCCTTAAATGCCTTCCTTTCACAAATATGAAAAGGGGGATTTGATGTGTAGGATTTATAGTTTGGATTTGTGAGGGCTGAGGTGCTGAGATATGTAAAATGCCTTTCCTTACAGGAGAATCAATAGGACCAGTCTTCTCAATGTGCTTCACTCAGAGAAGAAAGTCAACAAATACCATGTTAATTTCCTCCCTAATCCAGTTAGTAACTAGTGCCCAAAATAATATTAACAGAGTATTTAAATATCAGAAGAAAATTTAAATATATTTTACAGCCATTGGTTTTCTTAAAAAATCAAGAATGAATAAGCTGTTGATCTCAGCTATACTCAACCTTTGCTTTGAGTTTTTAATATATGTAACAATAACATAGAAAATAAAATACTTACCTGGGTTACGATTCAAAAGGATACATTTCGATCCTCATCCTTCAGACCTATATTTAAAATTGCTACTGACATGTTTCTGCTGGACTCTTCTGAAAAAGGACCCTCAGATCTAACATCCAGAATTGAGCTGGCCTCTTCCTTGCTAAATCTGTGATGCGTGACTATCCTCCCCTGAGTCTCTGCTAGAAATGCGCTCCTCTTTCTTGACTTTCCTTCCTGCTCCCCTCCTCCACTCAATCACCTACTTCTTTCAGTTCAGCCTTATAAACCTCCATCGAATCTCTTCTCTCCATCTCTTCTGCCACTATGCTGTTTAGACCACCATAACCTCTTATTTGATTCTTAATAGCCTCTCAACAGTGTCACTCTGCCTCACCCACCCATCCATTCCATTCTCTATACAAGATGCAGAATGACCTTTCTAAATCACCACAATTCTGACCATATCGCTTGCTTACACCCTTCCTTGCTACCCATTATAGATATCAGCCAA